TCAGAGCAGGTCCTAGCCTAGGACCGGTTTCTTAGGGCCTACCGAGTAGTGCTACCCCACCCGTCGCGCCACTGTGATCGCGCCGCCCTGCCCTGCCCTGCCCTGCGTTGCGCTGCCTGCGCACGCTCTCTGAAGATTAGAACGAGAATGAATGCATTGAGCAGAATGAGGAGTACAAGTAGCAAACCCTAAAGTGTTGTACCCCATATGAACTGCCCCACTACAGCCTACATAGACTATAGATAATATGCCTGACACACCCCCATAGGCAAAGTGGGGGAGAACAAGGGGTCACAAGACCAGTCAAGCAAAGCAAAGCAAGCTCAGGGTGGATCACAACGTCACCACACAGTCCGAGCACAAGAGTAAGGCCACAAGGCCAGTTCACATGCAAGATCATATATATAAAGGTAAACAAGCAAGTGCAGGTATAGAAAGAGTAGAGTACAAACAAGATCAAGAAGTGAGCAAGTGAGGTCAAGTAGGCACAAGACCGAGAAGAGTACAGAAGCGCTGATGATCACAAGGCGGAAGGGCCTTGGTGAAGATATCAGCAGTGTTGGCCTCAGAGGCCACGTAGGTGAGGCGGAGCTGACCACGCTGCTGCAGCTCACGAGACAGGAAGTAGCGGAGAGCAATGTGCTTCGTTCTGTGCTCCAGTCTGTGCTCCCGACACAAGGCCAGCATGGCCTTGTTGTCTACGTACAGCATTGGAGGAGAACGAGGCGGCTCTCCTACGTCAGTCAGCACGTACGTGAGCCAGTGTAGCTCCTGTGCAGCCATGGCCCCAGCGTAGATCTCAGCCTCACAGCTGGAGCTGAGAACAGAAGATGAGCGGGTAGACCGCCACGAAACAGAGCCAGAGCCAAGGCTGAAGGTGTAACCCTGTGACGACCGCTGCAGAGCCTGGTCGTCAGCCCAAGAAGCGTCACCGTGACCTGTGAGGACCACTCGATGTCGCCCTCCAAGCACTAGCCCCATGCTCGACGTACTGCACACGTAACGCAACACCCTCTTCGCTGCAGCCATGTGCTCTGGTCGATGTCTCCCAGGAGCAACATAGCGTGCCAAGATGCTAAGAGGGTATGCAAGGTCAGGTCGTGTGCAGGTCATCAGGTACATGAGGCAGCCAACAAGCTCTGGGTATGGGCCACTCGGCTCTACGGACTCATCCGAAGGCAGAGCTGAGAGCGAGTGGCGAGTAGACAGAGGAGTGGCTGAGGCGAGGAGTACGTGAAGCCGAAGCGCTGAAGGACCTGCTGCACCATGTGTGACTGAGTCAGGGTAATGGTACGCTATGCTCTGTCCCGGGTGATCTGCAAGCCAAGGTAGCTGCGCAGTTCACCCAGGTCTGTGCACGTGTGTCTCTTCTAGCAGCTCGGACTTCACGTGGGCGAGTCCAGCAGTGTCAGCAGTGGCAAAGACCAAGTCGACGACGTACACGAGGATGTAGAACGGCGGCAAAGAGGTGTCGGTGCGCAGAAACAGCGACGGGTCGGCTGTAGAAGGAGCAAACCCAAGAGCCGCAAGTGTAGTCCTCAGTGTGTCATGCCACTCACGAGGCGCCTGGCGGAGACCGTAGACTGGCCGCCGGAGGCTCCACTGGGTACCTAGGAGGAAACAACCCAGTGAAGCCAGGAGGGCGGCGCAGCTAGATCTCCTCGTGCATGGTGCCCTGCAGGAAATCTGTGCTGAAGTCAAGAGAGTGAAGCTCGTAGTCGCGCTGAGCGGCTATGTGCAGCAGCACCCGAAGAGTGGTCATGCTCGGGGTGGGAGAAAAGGTCTGAAAGTAGTCAACTCCCTGCTGCTGACTGAAGCCTCGAGCCACGTAACGCGCCTTGAAGACAGGCGTAGAACCCGGCGGCCGCTTCACCCTGAAAATCCACATGCCACTTACGATGTTCGCCCCAGGTGGGGGAACCTCGTGAACGTAGGTGCCTGTGGACTTCCAGGAAGCCATCTCTGCGTCCATGGCCGACTGCCACTGAGAGGAGTAGGGACCCTCGATTGCCTCAGCGTACGATCGAGGAGTCGGGATGTGTGGTGCATCCGGGTCTCCCTCAGGGGCAATCAGCGTGGACACGAGATGGGGCAAAGCAGCAGCAAAGCACTGGAACTCCTCCTGCCTGTCCTCAAGGACGTCCGTGCTAAGAGCACACTCACCCCCGACGGACGGAGACTCAAGACCTCCAGTAGGACCAGTGTAGGGAGAAGGAGCAGGTAGAGGGGAGGCGGGCTGTAACTGTGACTGCGACTGGACAGGCTGTGGACACTCTAAGGGAGGAGCAGGACAAGGAGAGGGTGGGAGACCAAGAACCTGCTCCACGAGCGGAACGAAGTACGGCCTCGGCCGCGCAGCGCCTCCAGAACCAGCAAGGACGGCGGACACCAGTACCCCCAGCGGCAGCACTAGCGCCATCAACACCTCCAGCTCCAACTAGCGCCAACTCCCGCACCCTCAGAAGCACTAGCGCCAGTAGCACCGCCAGCGCCAACACCCCCAGCAGCTCTAGCTCCAGCAGCACCAACTCCAGTAGGACCGTCAGCACTAGCAGCCTCAGCAGCACCCCCAAAGGCACTAGCGCCAGAAAAAACACCAGCGCCAACACCCCCAGCAGCTCCAGCTCCAGCAGGACCAACTCCAGTAGCCCCAATAGCACCCCCAGTCTCAGCAGCACGTCTCCAGTGGCGGGCAAACCACTCGCGCAGCTCCTGTGGAGAGAGCGGCTCCCGCCTCGATGAAGCACCGCCGGGGGCCACACGAGCAGACCTTGCGCCCCCAGGCTCCGCACCCCCAGGCTCCGCACCCCTAGACCCAGCACCTTCAGGCTCAGCACCCCCAGACTCAGCACCCCCAGTCTCAGCACCCCCAGACTCAGTACCCCCAGTCTCAGCACCCCCAGTCTCAGCACCCCCAGACCCGGCACCCGCAGGCTCAGCACCTCTAGCAGCACCAGAGTCAACAGCTACCTCGACAGGCTCGACTGCGTCTACCTGGGACACACCTGACAGGGCAGGACCCTGAGGGGGGAGGGGGTCTACCCGAGGAGGACCTGGTACAAGGAAGAGCGGCGGCGGGGGGAGGGGCGCAGTGCGGTAGGGGAAGAGACGGTAGTAAGGCACCGACTCGTCAAAGGTGACGTCCTGGGAGGGCAGAACACGGCGTGAGGTGGGGTGGTAAAACTGCCATCCAGGCGCGTCAAGGGGGAAGCCAAGGAAGACGCAGGGAACAGCACGGGGGGACAGCTTGTCCGTAGACAAGTCACGGACAAACGCCCGAGATCCCCAGACCCGAAACGCAGACGCATCGCCAACCTTCCCGGTCCACCGCAAGGCGGGGGAGGTCTCAGGCAAGGAGACTCGGGGCTGAAGGCTGAGCTAATGAGCGGCGTACTGAACCGCAAACGGCCACAGAAAATGGGGGGCAGCCGCATGCATCATGGACGTACGAGCGACGTCCATGACCATGCCAATGCGGCGCTCAACAATCCCATTTTGCTGTGGAGAGGCCGGAAGCGTGAAGGTCTGGCGGATGCCCTGTGCACGACACAAGGCTCCTAGACGGGCAGAGGAAAACTCCCCGCCTTTGTCCGAGTGCAAACGCAGAACACGAATGTCCGAGCCGAAACTCTCCCTGAGCTAGAGACGAGCTGCGCGGATCCAGTCGATCAACACCTCAGTGACGTCACCCTTGCTGCGCAAGGGGAAGACTGTGGTGTAACGCGAGTAGTCGTCAACCATCAGTAGGAAGTACCGCTCTCGCCCCTGCCCACTGACACGGGCGGGGCCCCACACGTCCATGTGGAGAGTCTACAACGGAGCCTCTGTCGGAGGAAACTCGGAGGAGTGAGGGGCGGCGCGCTGTCGCCCCTCGACGCAGGGGACGCAGGTAGGGCCAGGCCCCGGAGGAAGGGGAGGGAGAGATCGAGGGAGACCAGAGACAAGGACACGGGAGGCCATGCCTCGGAGACGAGGCAGGGAGGGGTGACCAAGGCGGTGGTGCTAGAGGAGAGTCTGGTGGGACAGTAGACGACACGAGCACGGAGCAGACTCAGTACCAAACCTGGACGCAGCAGCAAACACCTGACTCGACGCAGCTACCTGGCCACACTCAGCAGCCGGAGGAGACTCAGTATTAAGGGTGTACAGGCTCGACCGTGGTCGAGGGGTGAACGTGGCCAAGTGTCGGCCTGTCCGAGCACACGTGCAGTGGGTCACTCGCTGACTCGCAGGAGTGAATTGGTAAACCCCCCTATTCCTGTAGGTCCGCTCCACTTACCAAGTTCGTAGAGAACAAGGGGAGGTAGAGACCTGACAGGGTGCCAGAGGGGGATGCCGGGCATGGTAAGACAGTGGAGAAGCTAGGCAGGGACAGGACCCCCAGAGGGGTGCGCCAGGGAGACTGCAACCGGCAGACTGAGCGGCGTAAGAGTGGTGCGGTCTCGAAAGAAGGAGCAAGACGCACCCGAGTCAAGGGTGAAGGTGTGGAAGGCCTGAGCCGACGTAGTACCTGAGAGAGCAGACTCACCAGCACCTGGGGCAGCAGGACGCACTGGCACCTGGGGCAGCAGACGCACTGGCACCTGGGGCAGCAGACGCACTGGCACCTGAGGCAGCAGACGCACTAGCACCTAGAGCAGCAGCCTCACCAGCACCTAGAGCAGTGACCTCAATGCCCGGGTCAGGCGGTACACACAAGTAACAGTCACCCTCAACACTAGTAGTCACAGAATACATGGCAGCAAGGATAGCATCATAGTCAAGATCAAAGATGGCAACCCCTGCCCTAGACAGATCTCCCCAGCGAGGGATCTCTGACGCCTCAGGGAACTGGCGACGCCACGCGTCCGTCAGACGACCGAAGTAGCGCTGGGTGGAGTGCGGGCCCTCGCACTGCTCATCAGCTCGGTCGCCGGTACGGAGGACGTAAGTGCAGGGACCAAAACCCCCACCACGCTGACGCGCAGTGTACCACTCACGAAGCTACTCAGGGGACAGGGTCACACCACTCCGCTGCTCCTGGCGCAGACCACCACCTGAGCCACTCCTCTGCGCAGAGTTGCAACCCACTCCACCACCGCCGCCGCTGCGTCCGCCTCCGCCGCCTCCTCCACCTCCGCCTCCTCCGCCACCTGCGCCGCCTCCGCTCCCTCCGCTAACACCGCCGCCTCCTCTGCCTCCACTGCTGCCGCCGCCTCCGCCACCCCCGGCACCACTCCCACCACCACCCCCACTCCCTTCACTGCCTCCACCACCACCTCCACCGCCCCCGCCAGCCCCTCCAGCGCCCTTGCCCCCCTTGCCCTTGCCGGTGCGGCGTCTCCCACTTGGGGCAGACACAACGCCGACCGACTCGAAACCAACGAGGTCGGCCGCAGCAGGAGAGGCAACAGAGGGCAGAAGGGGGGAGGAAGAACACCCCTCAAAGATGGGGGTGCGAGGGTCACCACGAGAGGCTCCTACAGCGACTATGCTCTTCTCTATCGCTAGGAGGGCCTTCTCGAGGAGGTCAACGGTGAGAGTGGTGGGGCAAACTGAGAGGAAGTGGTCCCTGACTACGCGGAGAGAGTCAGGGAGTCGGGTGACTATGTAGTAGAGGGTGATGTACATTGGGGGGGGGTTCTTGGCGCAGAATTCAGCGGGAAGCGGAGCGCGGTAGCGAGTGTCACTAGTGCGGAGGTGCGTAATGAGGTCAGCGACTGTGGGAAAGGCAGTAAGGTCAGGGAAGAGGTACAGTAGCATGAGGCGGCTCAGCGCAGCAGTGGCAGGGGAAGAGTAGCGTGCAACTACAGCGTCGTACAAGGTCTGAGCACTCTTGTACTGGCTAAAGTGTGCACGCTCAGTGGTCGGTAAGTGGCGGCGCACAGCAAGGCGAGCAGCAGCATCGCGCGTGGCCCACTGTGAGCGAACAGTGGCGTCATGCTCTGCGTATATGCCTGACACGCTCTGCCCTACTCGCGCGCCGCTCGCCGCAGCGCGCCCTGCCTTGCCCGCACGCCGCCTGCTGCAGTGCGCCCTGCTGACTCGCGCGCCGCCTGCTGCAGCGTGCCCTGCCCTACCAGCGAGCCGCCGCGCATGCCCTACCTGAGCGCCGCGCCGCCGCATCGCCCTGCTCGCGTGCCGCTTGCGCGGCGCGTGCCGCCCTACCCGCGCATCGCGCCGCCACAGCGCGCGCTGTTCTGCCCGCGCGCCACGCCGCGCACCCTGCCCTGCCCGGGAAGTTCTCCGCCGCGCGCCCTGCCCTACCCGCAAGCCGCGCTTGCGAGCGCCTTGCCCTGCCCGTAAGCCGCGCCGCCACGCGCCTTGCCTTGCCGCGCGCCCTGCCTGAGCGCTGCGCCCTGCTCTGCCGCGCGCCCTGCTCTGCAGCGCGTCCTTCCGTGCCGCGCACCCTGCCCTGCCGCGCTCCCTTCCTTGTCGCGCGCCCTGCCCTGCCGCACTCTGCCCTGCCCTGCCGTGTGCCGCTCGCTGCTGCACTGCTGCTAGCGCGCTCACCCGCCTAGCCCTACCTGCGTGCTGCTTTGCTGCTAGCGCGCCCGACGGCTCTGCCCGCTATGGCCACTCTGAACGTTCTCACCTTCGATTCGGAGGGCCGCCCGATAGAGTTCAATGCGTGGCTAGACGACTTACAGGTGTACCTGCTGACCGACTCTAAGGACGGTATTTCGCTGTTTGACCTCACGTCTGGCGCCTCTCTCGCCCCTACCACCACAGGTGACAGTACGACTTGCTCACAGTGGCTTACTCGTGACGCAGCTGCTCGCTTAGCCGCTCCCAACCACTTGCCGTTAGCCGAACGCGCTCACTTCGGATAGCATAAGACTTCGAAAGCACTGTACGACGCTGTAGTCGCTCGTTACTCCTCCCCGGCCTCTGCTGCTCTAGTCCGCCTTCTCCTGCCTTACCTGTTCCCAGAGCTGTTCGACTTTGCCACAGTAGCCGACCTCGTCACTCACCTTCGTACTAGTGACACTCGCTACCGCACTGCACTTCTCGCTATGTACATCACTCTCTACTTCATAGTCACCCGCCTCCCTGACTCTCTTAGCGCTGTCAAGAACCTCCTTCTCGCCCTTGACCCCACAGACCTCACTGACGACCTGCTCAAGAAGCACCTCCTTGCAGCCGAGACTAGCATAGTCGCTGTAGGCGCTTTTCGTGCACTCCTCGCACTCCCTTCTTTGAGGGGTGTTCGCCCTCCCCCCTTCTCCCCTTAGTCGCCTCTGCTGTAGCTATTGACTACCTTCGTGCTGAGGAGGTAGGAGCTACGTCTGCCCCTAGTGGGAGGCGCCGCAGCGGCAGGGGCAGGGGAGGCAGGAGCAGTGGGGGCGGCAGAGGTGGAGGCGACGGTGGAGGCGGTGGAGGCGGTGGAGGGGGCGGCGGTGGCGGAGGGAGTGGTGGTGGGGGTGGAGGTGTAGGTGGCGGCGGTGGTGGCGGCAGTGGCGGTAGTGGCGGTAGTGGCGGCAGTGGTGGTAGTGGCGGCGGCAGTCGTGGCGGCAGTGGGAGTGGAGGCGGTGGCAGTGGTGGTGGCCGGGGTGGTACAAGTCAGAGGGGAGGCCTTGGCGGTGGTCAGAGGCAGCAGCAGTAGCGTCAGCTTTCGCCCCAGGAGCTACGTGAGTGGTTTGCTCAGCCTGGGACGGTTAAGGGTAGTGGTCCTTGCCCGTATGTCATTCGCACAGGTGACCACACTGGTCGGACACGAGGGAGGCTCCACACACAGTACCGCTGCTTCTCTGGTCTTACCGACGCCTTCCGCACGGAGTGTCCCGACGCGGCTGAGCTCCCACGCTAAGCATACCTGCTCAAGCAGGGTGTAGACATCTTTGCTCTTGATTATGATGCTATCCTTTCTGCCATGTATGCATTGACTGTCCGTGCCGAGGGTGACTGTTACCTGTGTATGCCGCCGGACCCAGGTATAGAGGCTGCTGCTCTAGGTGCTAGTGAGTCTACTGCTCTACGTACTGATGAGTTTGCTCTCTCTGGTACTACGTTTGCTGCGGCCCTGCACACCTTCACGCTTGACTCAGGTGCTTCCCGTTGTTTCTTTCGCGACAGTACCACACTCACACAGCACTCTGCACTTGTTGTCTCTTTGGCTGACCCCTCTGGGGACCCAGTCCTTGCACGTTCCTCCACTATTCTGCCTTGTCCAACGGTTCCGTCTGGCTCACTGTCAGGTCTCCGCCTTCCCTTGTTCTCTACAAACTTGGTGAGCACCGCCGTCCTTCAGGATCAGTGGGTTGACACCTTCACCCCTGGAGGACAGCATGTGGCGATCTGTACGTGCTCCCGGACTGGTAGGCACCTGGCCACGTTCACCCGTCGACCTGGGTCGAGTCTGTACACACTGACTATTGCGCCTCCTCAGATAGCTGCGTCTGCGTCAGGTCAGCTAGCGCCCCCCTGCTCGTGTCGCGCCCTGTTGCACCAGACGCTACTCTGGCACCACCGCCTTGGTCACCCTTCTGTGGCACGCCTCCGTGGCATGCACTCCCGTCTCCTTGTCTCTAGTCTTCCCAGGTCTCTGCCTCCCCTTCCACCCTCGCCTGCCCCTCCCTGCCTTCCGTGTGTCGAGGGGCGGCAGCGCGCCGCTACTCACGCCTCCTCGTTCCCCCCGACGTGTGCTCCCCTGCAGACTCTCCACCTGGACGTGTGGGGCCCAGCCCGCGTCCGTGGACACGGCCACGAGCGGTACTTTCTGCTGGTTGTCGAGGACTACACACGTTACACCACGGTCTTCCCCTTGCGTCGCAAGGGGGAGGTCCCTGATGTTTTGATCCCGTGGATCCGCGCTGTTCGTCTCCAGCTCCGCGAGCGGTTCGAGACGGACTTTCCCGTCCTTCGTCTGCACTCTGACAGAGGTGGTGAGTTTTCCTCAGACCTCTTGCGGGACTTTTGTCGTGGGGAGGGCATTTGCCAGACGTTCACGCTTCCAGCCTATCCGCAGGAGAATGGGGTTGCTGAGGGCCGCATTGGCTTAGTCATGGAGGTCGCTCGTACCTCCATGATCCATGCGGCTGCCCCCCATTTTCTATGGCCGTTTGTGGTCCGCTAGGTAGCACATCAGCTCAACCTCTGGCCCCGTGTCTCCTTGCCGGAGACCTCGCCGACACTGCGTTGGACGGGAGAGGTTGGCAATGCGTCGGTGTTCAGGGTCTGGGGATGTCGAGCCTTTGTCTGCGATATGTCTGCGGACAAGCTCTCGTGCCGCGCCGTTCCCTGCGTCTTCCTTGGCTTTCCCACCGACGCGCCTGGCTGGTAGTTTTACCACCTCACCTCGCGACGTGTTCTGCCCTCTCAGGACGACACGTTTGATGAGTCGGTTCCCTTTTATCATCTCTTCCCCTACCGCACTGCCCCCCTCCCTCTCTCCCGCTGCTCTCCCTCACACCACGTCCTCCTCCGATAGACCCCCTTCCCCCTCAGGGTCCTGCTTCCTCAGGTGTGTCCCAGGTAGACCATGTTGAGCCTGTCGAGGTAGATGTCGACTATAGTGCTGCTAGAGGTGCTACGTCTGGGGGTACTGCGCCTGCGGGTGCGAGGCCTGGGGGTGCTGAGCTTGAGCGTGCGGAGCGTGGGGGTGCTGAGCATGGGGTTGCTAAGTCTGAGGGTGCGGAGCCTGGGGGTGCTGAGCCTGAGCGTACTGAGCCTGGGGGTGCTGAGCCTGGGGGTGCTGAGCCTGAGCGTGCTGCGCCTGGAGGTACTTTGTCTTCTGGAGGTCTTCCGGGTGTCTTGTCACGACGGAAGACACTCTCTCCCCCGCAGCTGCGTGAGTGGTTTGCTCGGCGCTGGAGCCTCTGGAGTGGTGCTGCTGGAGCTGGAGCTGCTGGAGGTGCTGGAGCTGCTGGTCCCGGAGGTGCTCAACTGGAGGTACTGGAGCTGTTGGAGCTGGAGGTGCTACTGGAGCTCGAGCTGCTGGAGGTGCTGGAGCCGCTGGTCCCGGAGGCGCTCGTACTGGAGATACTGGAGCTGCTAGAGCTGGAGGTGCTACTAGAACTGGAGCTACTGGAGGTGCTAGAGCCGCTGGTCCCGGAGGTGCTAGTACTGGAGGTAGTGGAGCTGCTGGAGCTGGCGGTACTACTGGAGCTGGAGCTGTTAGAGGTGCTGCTATTGCTGGAGCTGCTAGAGGTACTGGAGCTTCTGGAGCTGGTGGTGCTCCAGGTGTTGGTGTTGGAGACCCTGGTGCTGTCGGTGCTCGTTTTGGAGGCGCTGTGCGGCCGCGACTATACTTCGTTCCGCTGCTTCAGCAGGCTCTTGGTCTCCCGCCTTCTACTGACCTCACTCCTCCCTTACTCTGTCCACCGCCTGACCAGTCCCAGCCGTAGTTACAGCCAGCCTCCCCACTGCCTCCTCCGTCTCCTTACACTGAGCAGCCCGGAGGTCTTACAGAGCGTCGTGAGCCTGCGTCTCGTCCTGCGTTGCCTGTTCGCGCAATTCGCACTGGTCGTCGTATTCCGCGGCAGCGTCCTCCTCCTGTCCCCGGCACACACGAGATGGCACTTCGTCCTTCCTCTGTTCCACTACGTGTCCCTCTGCCGTCTCCTCCTGCGTCTTTCCTTGCAGACGGTCCAGACCCGGAGTCTGACTCCCTTCGTGCTGCTAGTCCTACT